CTTTGTAGTTGTTCAAATAATTGTTCTGGGCAGGTTACAATATAAAAATGTTTGTCATAATCATGTCATGATTATTTGACAGGAGTTTTACTTTTAAACTGTAAGTGTATTTAATGTAATTACGTTAGTTATGATAGTTTAGTTATGATGTAAATACAATAAAAATTAAACCAAGATTTAGAATAATTATTATACATACATGGTAATGCCTGACTGGGCCTTGTGCCACTTTAACAAATTCAACTAATTGGGCCCCGAGGTCAAAAAGGTTAAGAACCCCTGCTATAGGGCAACCTAAAAAGTTCAGATGAATCCATATTAAACTACCAGTAACTTGATACTCACTAAGCATCAGCTCATTTATCTGTTGTCACACAAAGACTGAATCAAACTTAACTAAGTTAATGTCCTGTCACACTAATATTTTAGACAACTTCTGCCAACTTGTAAACATTTTGACCGACACTGAAAATGTCTATGTTGAAGTTGGAATAAAAAAATGTACTATATGAAAATATAACTAATTTTATCAGAATTTTCACAAGTCGGCATAAGTTGTCTAAAACTTAACAGGGTCTTTAAACTAAACTAAACTAAACTAAACTAAACAAAACTAAACTAAACTAAACTAAACTAAACTAAACTAAACTAAACTAAACTAAACTAAACTAAACTAAATCTATGAACTCTACATCGTAGCAAACAAGAAAGACTTGCCTTCCATTGTTGGCCTCTTAAGAAGCCCCTCTAGAACACGTGTAAAACAGAGTTTAAGAAAAAACAAAATAAAGTGTTTGTGCAGAGACTGAGACACATTCTCAGCTCTTTTCATGGCACTTCAAAAACATTATTCTGTATTTGTGATCATCAGCGTCACCTCTGTGCTCTGTGAAAGGCCTGGTGAAGGGTGTCTTGTCTGATTCGTTTTCCTTTTCCTCTTCTTCTTCTTCTTTCCTCTTCTCTGTGTAAAAGTTGCCGAGCTTCTGCACCAGTTCAGACACTTCCTCTGTGATCGGGATGGTCTCCAAAATCTGACAATGCACATGAAATCAGCTCAGCAGAAAAGTTGATTATTGTCTTAACTTAGAAACAAACTGCAGCTAATAATTAAGTAGCTCACACAACTTTTTATGAAGCAAAAAGTAAAGTGCATGGACATCCTTTGAAAAAGATTTACCAACTGGATATGCTCAATATAATTTCTCATGGCTTCCTCCTTCGTCATGTTTCCCAGAGAGCTCCATGTATCCCTGGAAACAGAGTTCAACACTGAGGACAGCAGCAAACAGTGACTGAAGCTGAGCAGTCAGACAGTATTGAACTTTATGGCAGCCACATATCTCAGAATATTTGCAGGGCTGTGTTTCCCACTGGGAAGCATAACTGAATTCAACATAACTGAGGAGACCAGTTGCTGGAGTTTTTGGAGGGGATATTTGTTTCGTTCTTGTCTGATGTAAGATTTTAACTATTCAAATGGATCTCCTTTTCTGGAATATTATCAACTGTAGATGAGTGGAAATTCAGTTTTCCGTGTATGTCAAGTTAGATTGTCCGTCCGCAGATTATTTTCCTCCACTTTGCATGAAAACAGACAGAAATCATAAACTCAGCCTCAACTGTCTTTTACAGCTCAGAGCTGGCCTGTAAGGACATGATGAGTTTGCCCCCCCCCCCCCCCCCCCATTTTATTGTGTGAGAGAACCACAATTATCTGTGAAATGTACATATTTCTGAAGGCCATTATGCAGGTAAACATCCAAAGAGGTTGACATGTATGGTCTTCCCAATTATCCCAAATTTTTCTAACATTGTTATAAATGCTCCTCCAAGTCTCTTTACCTCTTATTTTACAGTCTTTTGATGCCCTGAAACAACTTTTTTATTGTGTTGCTGCCATAAATTTCAAAATTACATTATTTTAAACAAACTTGGCGCAGTTTCTTCTTCTTACTTCCTTTACAGTTGACATAACATCCTACCTTTAAATGGAGTTTGGTTTGTATGTCACATATTTATCTTATTAGTTCAAATATTATAAAAAGGTGTACCATTTAGTTTTTCCTCGAGTGTCCCAAAAGCCCACTGGCCTTGGGATGTTGCATGGTCCCATTGTGGCTTGCTTGTAGTAACTATAAAACATCAGCATCATGTCATCAGACGGCTGAAAAGGACCTGAGAAATAAAAAAATTAAGTCAGCTCAAAAAAAACCCACACAAGACAAACTTAAAATAATTAATTAAAAAGAGTTTTAATTGTAAGGATGTGTACTCAGGTGCCTCTAATTTCTCTGGATCACTATTTAGATATTGATTACGTCAGGATCATGTAATCTATTTTACTTTTATCTTGGTTCAAATAAAAGTTGGATTGGATCAATCTTATCTGAAAACATGAGGAGAATACAGAAAGACCCCAGGTCCAAACTGCGGACTGGACCCAGAACCTTCTTCCTGCGTGGCAACAAAGCTAACTACTGAACCATCATGCTATATTACTGTATATAAAAAGAGCCTATTCCAAAGTTTACCCAGTATTTTTAAATTTTTTAAAATTTATTTATTTATTTATTTATTTATTTTTATTTATGTTGTTCTGCTCTTGGAGGAGTAAGACACTTTTCCCCCTCTCTCCTGCCCTTCTTTATCT